GGAGGTGGGGGGGAAGCCTTAAGAGGTAGTGCCAAGAGATCTTCCTGTCACTGAGGATGCGTCCTTGAATATTGACACCCTGATTCTTTCTCCTCCTGCTCTGTCTTGATGTCCCACCCTGAAGGGAATGGTTTGCTTTGGCATAGGTTCCCACTATAATATCTTGTCCTTACCACAGGCCTCAGAGCAACAGCAATAGACCAGAACTTCTGAAGCAGCGTACCTGGATGGACCTTTCCTCTTTATAAGTTCATTGCCTCAGGACTTACAGTGGCAGAAAACTGACACTGCTTTCATGCTATCCAACAAGCCTTAGAAATCAAGCTCTAAGAATAGGAAGCCGCCGGGCGCCGGTGGCTCAGGCCTGTAATCCTAGCTACTCAGGAGGCTGAGATCTGAAGTTCGAGGTTCAAAGCCAGCCCGGGCAGGAAAGTCCATGAAACTCTTATCTCCAATAAACCACCAGAAAACCGGAAATGGCGCTGTAGCTCAAGTAGTAGAGCGCTCGCCTTGAGCTGAAGAGCTGAGGGACAGCGCCCAGGCCCAGAGTTCAAGCCCCATGACCAACAACAACAGCAACAAAAAATGGGAAGCCTTTCCCTGGGGATCTGTGTGCCAGCTTATCATCCACATTCCAAAGAACAGCAAGGAAAGCAACAGGGCAATGGCTCTGTCACGCCATGAAGGCAGCCCCGGCCCTGGGGTGCTTGAATATGGGCCTTGTGCACTGGATCATGCTTTGACTGGAAAGCCCAGGAGCTCCAGGGAGCAGTAGTCTCAGAAGTTCTAGTAGAGAGGCTTTTGGGGGTGGAAGTGTGGCTCAGATGGTAGAGCCAATGAGCAAAAATGTCATGTACCAAATTCAAGTCCCGTCTCAGACTTAAAAAGGTTTCTTAGCTCTCAGACAGACAACACACCGCAGCTAAGCTGAGACTAAAAAGACCCTCAGGAACTTTCCCTTTGGCACATACACAGTTGTCAGAGAGTGGGTTTTGTCTTGTCTCGAAAAGAGAAAAAAAAGTTAGAACTTCACAAACCTTCTATGGCACTATTAGAGCTACTTTGACAAATTCTTAAGATTAAAAAAAAAAAAGATAGGATCTGGGAGCTGGTGGCTCACACCTGTAACCCTAGCTACTCATGAAGCTGAGCTCTAAGGGTCATGGGTCAATGCCAGCCTGGGCAGAAGAGTTTGTGAGATTCTTATCTCCAATTAAGCACCACAAAAGTTGAAAGTTTAAGCTGTGGGCTTTAGTGGTAGAGGGAAAGAGGCAAAGGAGATGAAGAGGCCCTATGTTTGAGCTCCAGAACTGGTGCACACACACAGAAAAAATTGAATTATAAAGTCATGTGTGTGGAGGGTGTGTGTGTGGGGGGGAGGTGCTGGGGATGGAACTCAGGGCCTTGTACCTGCTCAGTCTACACTTCACTAATAAGCCCTCAGCCAGAAGATGAACTTTTTTTTTTTTGGTGGGTCCTGGGGCTTGAACTCTGGGCTTTGGCGCTGTCCCTCAGCTCTTCAGCTCAAGGCAAGCGCTCTACTGCTTGAGCCACAGTGCCACTTCCGGTTTTCTAGTGGTTTATTGGAGATTAGAGTCTCACTGACTTTCCTTGCCCGGGCTGGCTTTGAACCGTGATCCTCAGATCTCAGCCTCATCAGTAGCTAGGATTACAGGCGTGAGCCACAGGCGCCGGCTTGTCTTTGATTTTTGTGCAGGTGCTGGAGTTTGAACTCAGGGCTTGAGCTCTGTCCCTGAACTGTTTTTGCTGAAGACTAGTACTCTACCACTTGAGCCACAATGCCACTTCTGGATTTTTGGTGATTAATTGGAGATAAGAGTCTCAGGGACTTTCCTGCTCAGGCTGGCTTCAAACTGCAATCCTCAGTCTCTGCATTCCGCATAACTAGGATTATAAACATGAGTCACCAGCACCTGGATTCTTTAAAAGTCATCTACCTGCATCTACTTCATCATGTTCAAGGAAACAGGCCAGCAGCTACATATGTGTACCTCTACACATGACTGCACAGCAGCCTTTGCGTGTGAATGGGTCTCCCTCCTAAGCAGGGCAGGTCATCTTGGTTCTCAGTGTGTACTGAGCTCAGGAAATTGGAAAATGGGATTGTATTACGACATTTTCTAGCCAGGTGCTGGAGGCTCATGTCTGTAATAACAAGAGGCTGAGATCTGAGGATCAGAGTTTAAAGCCAGCCTTAGAAAGAAAAATCTATGCGATTCTTTTTTTTTTTGGGTCCGGTCGTGGGGCCTGAACTCTGGGCCTGGGCGCTGTCTCTCAGCTCTTTAGCTCAAGGCTAGCGCTCTACTACTTGAGCCACAGCACCACTTCTGGCTTTTTTTTCTTTTTGCTTATGTGGTGCTGAGGAATCGAACCCAGGGCCTCATGCATGCAAGGCAAGCACTCTACCACTGAGCCACCTTCCCAGCCCCTCTATGAGATTCGTATCTCCAATTAACCAGCAAAAATCCAGAAGTGGAAGTATGGCTTAAGAGGTAGAGCACAAGCCTTGAGCAAAACACCAAATAGAAAAGTGAAACCCTGAATTCAAGCCCCAGCATCAGCACGAAACAAAGAAACAAAGAAAAAGGTAGAAAGAAAGAGGAAGGAAGAAAGGAAGGAAGGAAGGAAGGAAGGAAGAAAAAACAAGAGCAGGCTCTTGGTTCCAGAAAGCAAGATTTATGACATTTATGAATTGTAACCTATTAATAGATATACTAGATTATCTGAAAAATTACCAAATGCAACGAAAATAAAACAATTTTTAAAAAATTCTCCAAGAAATCACACCTTATAATATTTATTAAAAAGTAAAACGGCTTTTCTCTGCCTTTGGTTATTAAAATTCTTTTTGGATTGGGTACTTCGGTTGATACCAATTGCCAAACATGGTTTAATGTTATGCAGCCATGAGATGACAGACAGATCAAAGAAGAGGTGACAGACAGCTGTACCTATAAATGTGTAAAACATCAATATCATGCTGCACAAAGACTGGTTTAATTACAAATCTTGGGTTTTGCTAGAAGTTGGAAGTTTTCTTGCACATACTTAAACTTGGTTTTTTAATCAGTAAATGATACACAGTCTCATTCGAACTTAACAGTTCAAAACATTAGCCAAAAATACAATGCTGATTGAGGCTTGTAAGGAAAAAAAAAAGACCAAGAAAGGCAATTTATCTTTGAACAGCTTTCTCTCCATTCCACTGTCCCAGCTGCAGGAAAAATAAGCCATTTTTGATTAAGATTTTTTTTTAAAAAAAAAACCTTATTACTTGCAAAGTAACTCATGTCTGAACTTTACATTCCACCCCAAGTTTTCAATAATGGTTGAAGAGCCTATTAGCCAAGTTAAAAGGCTTAGGCTAATTAATCGTTAGCCAAGAAACATATTTCTTGGGTAATAAAACACATTTCTTTGAATTTTTATAAATAAAACAAGAAAATGTTTAAGAACTAGGCAAATATATGGATCTCTGTTTATTGCTATGTGATTATCTGCCCTCAGTACTATATAAACAATATAGTACTTATAGAAAACCAATTGTAATAAAATGCCAGGTTACAACTCACACCAAAACTGAAAGTCTTTCAGAGAGTAGCAGGTAATAGCTTACAATTTCAATTTAAAACAAAAAAACAAAAACACTATAGCCGGGCATTGGGGCTTATTTCTGTAATTCTAGCTACTTTGGAGGCTGAGATCTGAGGATTCAGGTTTGAAGCCAACCCAGGCAGTAAAGTCTGTAAGACTCTTTTGTCTAATTAGCCAGCAAAAATCTGGAAGTGGCACTGTGGCTCAAATAGTAGAGTGACAGCCTTGAGTGAAAAGCCAAGCAAGAGCAAGAGACCCTGAATTCAAGCCCCAATGTCAGCACACAAAATGAAACAATATTCTAATTACTTTTCAGATGTCCCTGTGGAACATCAAAAGGTTAAAAGAGACTATTAGGAAGGGGCAGCAGAGGGACTGGGAAGGTGGCTCAGTGGTAGAGTGCTTGCCTTGCATGCATGAGGCCCTGGGTTTGATTCCTCAGCACTACATAAGCACAAAAAGCTGGAAGTGGCGCTGTGACTCAAGTGGTGGATAGAGCACTAGCCTTGAGCTGAAGAGCTGAGGGACAGCGCCCAGGCCCAGAGTTCAGCCCCACGATTGACAAAAGAAAAAAAGGGGGTGGGGTGGGCAGGAGCAGGTGCTGGTGGCTCACACCTGTAATCCGAGCTACTTAGGAGGCTGGGTTCTGGGAGTTGGCAATTGCTGTTTGAAGCCAACTGGGGCAGCAAAGTCTGTGAAACTTTTATTTCCAATTAACCAGAAAAAAAAAAAAAAAGCTGGAAGTGGTGCTGTGGCTCAAGTATTTGAGCACTAGCCTTGAGTAAGAAAGCTCAGGGACCGTGGCCAGGCCCCAAGTTCAAGCCCCAGGACAAGCACCAAAAGAATTTAAAATATAAAAAAAGAATGAACAGGAGATACTGATAAACATGTTTTGTACTCACAATCTGACTTGTTGAATTGAAACCTCTTTGTGCAATTACTCAAAGACAATAATAAAGAAGAAAAGGGGAATGAAACAGTTTTATTACCCCATCCTCTACTCCAAGATTAAAATACCAGAATTCTAAAATGTCTCATTAATTAAGGAACTATGTCATTTGTCTCTTTAGAAAATCATTTTCATAATAAGATCTCTACATAAGGTAAAAAAAAATGTTTTTAAAGCACAAAATAGACCCCAACAAAACACAAACATAGATAAAATATATCTTCTTAAAATTAAGATGTGCCTTTGGAATTACAAATTGACAATCTCATGAAATTCAAATTGGTTTCTTTCTTTATAATAATTGTATTCTTTATATTCTCCCTTCAACCTTCGAAGCTTTTTTTTTTAAATGACCCAGGTAAGAAGGAGTAACAGGCATCTGTTCTTGTAAAATGAAATAATAATATTATTAATAACATAATAAAAATCCCTTCATCTATCAGTCTAGAAAATTCTTCTGATGACCACACCTCAAGGGCACTTTGAGGCTCAGGCATCTGCCATGTGTAACTAACAGTGGCATCATGAATCAGGGACACACCAGGACACCACAAGCCTGGCAAGGCTAATTCAGAGATGCTTTTATATAAGTTAGGGGCAAATGAAGCCATCCGAAAGAAGAATGCCATTAAAAAAAATCACCAACATGCGCAGAATTCCACCTCAAGAATCTCTTCCAGTTTCCCTTGGTCTTCTAAAGCAATGAATCCATGTGAGGTGGCAGACCGGGCTATACGGTCACCGCAGGGTACATCTTCTGCTCACTGTTGGCATGGGGAAAGGGAGGCTGCACCTGCCTGAAGCCCGGCTGCAGGCCATCCAGGAAGGGTGGCACGGGCGTCATGGGCACAGCATCATGTTGCACGGTGTACCCCACGTAAGGGGGGTGCAGGTACTGCCCTTGGTGCGGCACAATCTGCGTGGCCTGCTGACAGTTCAGCACGGAGAAATTCGTGGGCATGTTGACATACACGTTGTTCATGGTCCCCTCCGGTAAGCAGCAGTTGGTTTGTGACCTGGTTGGGGGTGCCCGGGCCCCTGAGTTGGCACTGGAACTGGAACTGGCAGCTGTGCTTGACTGGCGAGAGGATGAACCCCGGGAGGTGCTCGCACTGGGGATCATGGGGATGGTTTCCATTAGCCGGTTGCCCCCGGGGGCTCGGCTCTGTTGGGGTTCTTGCTTGGGCCGGAGACATCTGCAGCAACAGGCTGCTACCAGGGACCCCAAGATGATAAAGGCGACAAAGACGGAGCCCACGATGAGGAAGGGCACGTAGATGGGGACTGAGAACAAAGGACAAATACAACGTTATGATTTACTGGGAGAACACCAGGAAAGTAGTGAGGGATATGACTGGCGATGGCCGGAGCGTGGGACTGACACTCAGAATTGAAGATCCTGCGCCAGGCCAGCCTGCCCATTGCTAGCAGGGCACCACTTGTGCCAGCCTTTGCCTAGTGCTAGGGAACAGTGCCAAGATCTTATAAGCATGGCACATTGGCCCCCAGAAGCTAAATTGTTCATATTTACAGTTAGGTCCTCCAGTGGCACTGACTGAGGTAGGTACCAGGCTTGATGAGATATAGGCATAATGTGCTAAGATTGCTATTATGCTCAAGTCCAAAGTGGAGGTGTGGCTCAAGTGGTAGAGCACCAGTCTTGATCAAAAAAGCTAAGCAAAGCTGGGCACCAGTGGTTCATGCCTATTATCCTAGCTACTCAAGAGATCAGAGGATCACAGTTTAAAGCTAGCCTGGGCAAGAAAGGCATGAAACTCATCTCCAATTAAGCACTGAAAAAAGCCAAAAGCGGAGCTGTGGCTCAAGTGGTAGAGCAACCTCCTTAAGCAAAAAAAGCTCAAGGGTAGAGCTGGGGTCCTGAATACAAATCCCAGGACGAGCCCACACACCAGACAATCTCAACAAGAGTTAAAGGTCTTAAATTCAAGCCTCAGTACCTAAACACACACGCGCTCGCGCGCTCTCTCTCTCTCTCTCTCTCACTCTCTCGTGCACGTGCACGCGAGCTCCAATGGAAGGAGAGTGACAGAGTGGATGAATCTGATAAAGGCACATGGTATGCCTATATTAGACAAGTCAAAAGGAAATCACTTTGTACAATTAACTGATGCTAATAAACTATGTAAAATAAGCTGGATGCTGGTGGCTCACACCTGTAATCCTAGCTACTCAGGAGGATAAGATCTTCAGGATCACAGTTTGAGGCCAGCCCAGGTAGAAAAATCTGTGAGTCTCATATCTGCAATTAATCACCAAAAAGCTAGAAGTGGAGGTGTGGTCAAACTGGTAGATTACCAGCCTTGAGCAGAAAAAGCCAAGCCAGAGTTCAAAACCCAATACCAGCACAAAACAATGTAAAAGTACTTTGAAATTATGTACAAAGTATTTCTTAAAAAGACCTATTTTTTTCAAGTTGGGCACTAACTTGACTCATGCCTGTAGTCCTACCTACTCAGGAAACAGATCTGAGGGTCAGGGTTCCAAATCAGCCCAGACAGGAAAGTCGGTGAGACTCTTATCTCCAATCAATCATCAAAAATCTGAAAGTGGAGCTGTGGTTCAAGTGGTACAGCATTAGGCTTTAGCAAAAAAGCTCAAGGACACTGACTGGGCCCTGAGGACCTGGACCAACACACACACACACACACACACACACACACACACACACACACACACACACACACGTGTTTTTGGGAGCCACAGGGCAGCAACTGTAAAGATTTTCTTTGGGGACAGAGCTGGCAGGATGAGCCTGCAGAACCTGTTCTCTGGTGGGCTTCTGCCCATCTCTCTGGCTTTTTTTTAAGGGGTAGAGGTGCTGACACACTCCAGTCCTCCCCGTATTTCTCATTAAAAAAAAAATACATAAAAGCAGGCCCCTACTTGGTTTCACTGGCATTGGCACAGCACTGCTAGCATTTTCAAATGTACCTCCCCCCACCCTCACTGCCCCCAAGAATCACAGGGAAATAATTCATTACAAGGAAAACATACTTCACAGGTGTAGAACCACAGGCTGACAGTGAACGTTTTGCTAAGGAACACAGCCAAGTCTATACAGAGTGTCCCTTCAGGAAGGGAAGGCTCCGAACCCCATAGCAAGGGGTTGGCCCCCATAGCCAAGGCTTGGCCCCCATAGCAAGGCTACTTAAATGCTACCACTGCAGCCCAACTGTGGAGGATCAGAGTCCTAGGAGGCCAAGCTTTCCCACACATGCTACCAATTTCTATTTTCCAAATGAAGATACCAGCCCCCAGAAATGTTACCAAGAGGTAAAAAATAATAACACAGAACATATATATATATATATATATATATATCCTAACTCTATAGCAAAAACTAGCTGAACCTAGTTTCAGTTTGCATAATGAGTTTTGGGAGAAATAACTGTTCTCTATCCAGGATTTTTAATTGGAAGTATAAAAAGGAAAAAAAATTAACGACACAGGGGTAAAAGAATGCCATGCTAATCTAAGCCCCCACCCCCTGGCTTAATTAGGTAAGATGTCCTTCAGTGCAGAAGCAATGGGGGAAGAAACAGAATTTTTGAGGAGAAAGATTTAAAGGTAGAATGAACAAGCCACCCCACCCCCTTGCAACTGCAAGCATCGTGACAGTGTACTGCCTCCAGATCTGCTTAACTTTTGAGACTAATGTTTTAAGTTTTTAAGAGATGGTTGACAAGCCCATACTGACAAGACATCTTATTGTGGCAGCTCAGGCTTTGGCTCCAATAGGGCTTTATTCCCAGACCACACACTCTGCAAATCTGAGCTTGCATTTTAAGATGCTGCTACCTTTTCTAGATTTACCCTCACTCCTCTCTTCAGACGCAACAAGATACAATAAACAGAACAATTAGAGTAGCACAGAAACTACCTAGTGCCAATGCTCAAGGCAACTCCAATTCTGGTCTGCTTAGGGTGTTGGGGGAAAAATAAAAGCCAGTCCATACAGGGGCTGCAGAACAAGGATGAACTCTTTGCTTTGGGTCAGGTTTGGTATTTTGCTTCTACCCCTCCACCTCAGAAACACCTAGGGATCTGCGCAGATCGTGGGGGGGGGGGGGGGGGAAGAGCAGGGGTAGTCTGGGAAGATTCCCAGCCAAAGGATGGAATGTCACTACCAAATTCATTTACAGATTTCTTTTCCAAATTTGGCTTGGACAGTTCAAAAAAAAAAATAAAAATCAGCTACTCGGGAGGCTGAGATCTGAGCATGGAACAGCAAAACCAGCCTGGTGAGACAAATCCAAGAGACTCTTACCTCCAATGAACCAGCAAAATGCTGAAAGCGGAGGTGTGGCTCAACTTGTAGAGTACCAGCTTTAAAGGAGAAAACTAAGCAAGAGCCCAAGGCCCTGAGTTCAAGCCCCAGTACCAACAACACACTCACACACATACACACATACACACACACACACAAAACAAAGAATAATGCCACAAAGAACAAATTTGGACCCTGCTCCATTGTGATCTGGAGTGATCATCAGAACAGGCCACAAACCCGCAGGGCAGCAGAGCGTGCCTTCCTCCTAAAATGCCTTCCAGAAAGCGTCCCCACGCGGGCCATTTCCTCCGGTGTCTCCCAAGAAATGAAACTTAACGTGGAGACTCGTGAGCGGAGGGAGAGAGCCAAGGAGCCTGCACAGCAGAATCCTGGACTGTGAGCGCTGTCTGCCCAAACTGCCTTAGGTGTGTGGTTTTCCTTGAAAAAAATCCAATCTACACCATCCTTTCATCTGACAAGGAAACTGAGGCAGTGTGTGTGTGTGTGTATGTGTGTGTGCGCGCGCGCACGCTCGCACCAGCCCTAGAGTTGGCTTGAACTTAGGGCCTAAGGAACTATCCTTGAGCTTTTTTTTTACTCTACCCCTTAAGCTTCTAGCATTTGAGTGGTTTAATTGGAGATAAAGAATCTCATGGACTTTCCCATCTGGGCTGGGCTCCCAATGCCGATCGATCTTCAGATCTCAGCCTCCTGCGTGGCAGCAGCCATCCGTGCACCCCGACTAGCTCATACAAACGGAAGGGGAAAATACCTTTCAGCTCCACCTCCAGGTTCCTTTCCCCTCTCCACGCTAGCCATCGGGCCCCGCTGCCACCCCCTCCACCCCGGGGAACAAAGGGGAGCTGGGGAGGGGGGGTCCCGTACCTGCTGAGCCATCCGGGACGTCCTTGTCGGCGCGGCCCGGCTCGCCCGCGCCCTGCTGGCGGTCGTTGTCACAGCCGCCCTGGTCCAGGCGCGCCTCGGCGCTGGAACAGCAGTACCGCAAGGCGCAGCTGCCGCAGCAGATGGTGGCGTCGCCGCCGTCGAAGCGCTCGGGGCACTGGAAGCCGAGGCGCCAGACGCCCTGCGCGTCCAGCCAGCCGTGGCAGTACTCACCGCCCGCGCGCGCGCCCGCCGCCAGCGCCGCCGCCAGCAGCAGCTGCAGCAGCGACGCCCACTGCCCCGACGGGGCGGCCGCAGGGCGCTGTCGGCCCCACATGGCCCCACCCTGGGGTGCCAGGCGACCCGTCTCCACAAAGACGCCGAGCCGTTTCCTTTCCAGAAGTTTCCGTCCTGGCGAACCCGGGATCTCCTTGCCGCCGCCGCCGCCGCCGGAAGGTCCCTTTGGGCCCCGGGGTAGGGGCGCCGTCAGCTCCCCTCTTGCTCGAGTCCCCGCCTCCACCTTGAAGTTGGGGTGTAGATCTAGGGGCTGCTAAGTCATCCTCTACCGGGCTTTGCGATCACGTGGCACTGACCGTTGCAACTCTTGGGGTGCAGATCAGAGGATCTTTGGGGCTCCCCGTCCCTTAATTCCTGGAGGCGCCACCGACCGCGGCACCCTCCCTACCGGGGACGACCGACCCCCGGGGTGACTGCAGGGCCCACAAGGTGCAGGTCCCGCCGCACGCCGCGTTTAAGACTCGGGGTCCCACGCGCAACTCGGGTGCATCTCTCCTTTATTCGCCTCTGGAGCGCCGAGGAAGGGCGAAGGCGGCGCGCAAGGCTGCGGGCAGCAAGTGCAGCGGCCGGCCGCGCTCGGGGCCCCGAGCCCCGGACTCGATCCGCATGGCTCCCGCCGTCCCCCGGCAGGCGATCCCGTGGTCTCTGCTCCTCGCTCCCCGCCCTGGGTCTGCAAAGCCGACGAGCGATGGTCTCGGCGCACGCCGGGCCCCGGAGCGTCCGGAACGCGAGCGAGCGAGCGAGCGAGGGTCCGGCGCGACGCCGCGGCTCGTCCCGGGCAGCTCGCGGGGTCGGCGGCTGCTGCTGGGCGCGGATCCAGGCGGGCTGCGCGCTCGGCCCCGGATCTCCGGCTTGTGCAGCGCGGTCCTCACGGGGCCAGGAGATCTCTCTTCCCCCTGGCTGGTGCGCCCTCGGGCGGTGCACACCGACCGAAGCCTCCCTCGGAAGTTTTCAGTACTCCGGGCTCCAGGAGACGCGGAGCCGCGCTGCAGCCGCCCGCGCGCCCGCCTCGCCCGACCCGCCGGCCCCGCCGCGCCGCGCCGCGTTCTTATGAGAGGCCGGCGGCGGCTCCCGGCGCGCATGCGTGCTGCTGAATCCCTCAGCCCGGGACTCCAGGCTGACGCTGGACAGCCTTCACTTTCTGACTCGAAAAGGTGTGTCCGTAGAAGGAGCACACCAGAAACCATCATTTATAACATGCAGCGCGCCATGCATATCATCCTAACTGCGCAAGGGGCTGAGAGCTGATGATCCTGATTCAAAGCCAGCCTGGACAAGACAGTCCACGAGACTCCCCCACTGACCAGCAAAAAGTTGGAAGTGGGGGTGGAGCCCAAATGGTATCGCACCAGCCCTGAGTGAAAACGCTCAGGGATAGTGACCAGGCCTTGACTTCAGTACACGCGCGCACACACGCGCGCACACACACACGCACACACACACACACGTCTTTAAACTTGCTTAGTGAAGATTGTTGGCATTTACCATTCGCGTTGACTCTGCAGACTTCTCAAGGGATTTCCATTGGCTCCCATTTTACAGGTTGTAAGTAGTGATCAGCGCTCCTCCGGCAGCTGATGTTCAGCCTCGGGGAATCTGAGGTCTGGGGACGGAGGATAGAGAACTCAGGTGCAGGTGGCAGCGATCTCTTTCACCTGCCTGGGGGCTTCCTAGCTGGACTGGAGTTCCAGCACAAAGCAGAATGCGCAAAGTTCAGCAGGGGCACCATGAGTTCATTTTGGCCAGGATCCGTGTCACTTTTATTATTATTATTATTACTTTTATTTGGGGGTGCAGCGATTATTGGCTTCCAGCAAGAAGGAGCCCGTGTTCAGCATTTGGTCTCCGTGATGTCGACAGCTGCAGTCGGGGAGAAAAGGAGGTTGGACCACGCGAAAAATCTGGGTTTGGTGAAGGAGAGATGAATAGCGTCTCTCTTGTGGAAACGGAAAGGAGAGGTGCTGGAGCTATTGAAGTGGCGGGGAATCTTTGTAAGAGACACGGCTCGCCGTTTCCTGTTTCCCACAGGGCCAGAGTTAAGCGGGCCTGATACCGGGTCAGTGAAGCTCCTCCATGTGCTGCTGGCCTCCCTGGCTCAGGGGTACACAAACACAACGCAATTTTTTTCGCAGCCAAGACCGTTTGGTTTAAATAACCATTGGTTGGGTACTTAAGAAGAAGCCTCAGCCTGGAGCTGGTGGCTCCTGCCTGTAATCTTAGCTACTCAAGAAGCTGAGATCTAATGATCCTGGTTAAGCCAGCCCAGGCAGATAAATCGTAATCTCTTATCTCCAATCAACAAACAAAAAGCTAAAAGTGGAGGGGCTGGGAAGGTGGCTCAGTGGTAGAGCGCTTGCCTTGCATGCCTGAGGCCCTGGGTTCGATTCTCAGCACCACATAAGCAAAAAGAAAAAAAGCCGGAAGTGGCGCTGTGGCTCAAGTGGTAGAGCGCTAGCCTTGAGCTGAAGAGCTGAGGGACAGCGCCCAGGCCCAGAGTTCAGGCCCCACGACCGGACACACACACACACACACACACACACACACACACACACACACACAAAGCTAAAAGTGGAAATGTGGCTCCAGTGGTAGAGTGCCAGCCTTGAGTGAAAAAGCTAAGTGAGAGGTGAGGCCCTCATTACTAAACAAAACAGGAAGCCTCAGACATTGATCATTGTTTTTCCACTCACTCCAGCAGGTCATATCAAGGAAAACCATAACCTCCCAAATAAAGCCTTTATTCTTCTCAGCTAACTTCTCTCCAGACATTGCATCTTATTTTCCTGTAGCTTTTGTTGGAGTTTTGTTTTTTAGCTATACATATTACATATGTGGATATGTAATATGCATCTGCCTACCTCTGTCTGCTTGCCTGTCTTCTCTCTCTCTCATATATATACATGATACATACACACACACATGTATTATTCTATCTATCTTTTGCAATGCTGGGCCCTGAGTCCAGGGCCTTGTGCATGCTAGTCAATGAAGGTTAAAATCACATATATTTAAATATGTATTTTAAGGTACTCAAATGATCACAAATTCTGCATCAAGTTACTCTTCATTCAACAAGTGCATCATCGTTAAGCACTTCCAAGGCAATGTGCTCTTTGTTGGACACTGAGGATTCACCAACAAGCCAGAGATCTTGGCCATTCCCTTCAAAAACAGTCTAAAGTTTCAGAGGGTAAAACAGAGTTTGGCCAGGGTCAAAGAACTGAATAAGCAAAGAATGACAAGTATGATAAAGGCCACAGTGGTGATGTGTTGGGTCAGGTTAGGTTAGAGAAGTTGGATAGAGAGGCAGAAAAATCACTAGAGGTTGGGGATTTAAAATTAGGCCAAGAGAAGGCAAGGAAAGGCTAAATTATTCTGTGTGTGTCTTCCTCTTTCTTTCTCTTTTTGTCTTCCTTCTTTCCCTTCCCATCTTTCTCCTTCCTTCCTTCCCTCCTTCTTTCTTTCCTTCCTGCCTTCTTTCCTTCCTTCTCTCCTTCCTTCCTTCCTTCCTTCCTCCCCCTCCCTCCCTCTCCTGTTCTTTTTCTTCCCTTCCTTCCTTCCTTCCTTCCTTCCTCCCTTCCTTCTTTCCTTCCTTCTTTCCTTCCTTGCTTTCTTTCCCTCCCCCCCCCCCCCCCTCTTGCTTGCTTTCCTGGAGCTTGAACTCAGGGAGCTGCCCCTTAACTTTTTCTCTCAAGGCTAGTGCTCTACCACTTAAGCCACAACTCTACTTCTGGCTATTTGCTGGTTAAATGGAGATAAGAGTCTCACAGACTTTTTTCTGCCTGGGCTGGCTTTGAACCAGGATCTTCAGATCTCAGCTTCCCAAATAACAAGGATTACTCCTGTGAGCCACTGGCACCCAGCTTGAATCATTTTCTTAGATGGTGCTGTTAGGTAACATTTATTGAGGGCTTTCTATTTTCCAGGCATTGTGCCAAGAGCTTCATGCCCATATTTTTATTGAATCCTCACAGCAACCCAACCAAGCAAACATAGTAACTATCCTCAGTGACTGGAGGATAAGCACCAAGATAGAGTCACAAGTGACCTGGATTGCACCCAGTTTCCCCAGTCACCATGGTGAGTGCTACTGGAGCCCCAGGGTTACCTGGGAGCTACCAATCACTGCATTGTTTGGTTTCATTTCCCTGGGGTAACATAAGCTGATTTAAGTGGGAGTCAGTAGTGGAGGGTTAATGCTTTAAGTACTTTTTTTTCTCTGTGTGTGTACCCTACCTAGGACTTGAACTCAGGACCTGGGCACTATTCCTGAATGTTTTTGCTCAAGGATCTACCAATTGTACCACAGATCTACTTCTGGCTTTTGGTTATTAATTGGAGATCAGAATTTCACAGTTTCCTGTCTGGGCTGACTTTGAAACACAATCCTCAGATCTCCGCCTCCCGAGTAGCTAGGATTACAGATGTGAGCCACTGGTGCCCGCTTTTAGTATTTTTCTTTAAAAAGTTGATTCTGGACATTTATACTTAGTGCAGACAGTACCTGTGCCACCCTGCCTTCTCCTATGCCTTAATTCACTTCTGTAAAACACAGTTGGTCAGAATTTATGAAGAAATTGCTAACTATTTCATATTGGAATTGATCGGTTGAGCTGGTAATACCACTGTTTAAATACAATACTTTCCCCCAAAAGTCTACAATTTACTTCATTCCATCCTCTTCCTTACAGTGCTGGGGACTGAACACCAGAGGAAGTACCATGCCACTGAGCCAAAGCCCCCTCACCTTCCCCATTTATTACGTATGAAGAAAGCTGGGTGCTGATGCTGGTGGCTCACACCTATAATCCTAGCTATTTGGGAGGCTGAGATCTGAGAATCAAGGTTTGAAGCCAGCCCTAACAGGAAAGTCGATGAAACTCTTACATCCAATTAACCAGCAAAGGGGAGATATGGCTCAAGTGAGAGTTCTTGCTTGGAGCAAAAAAAGCCCAGCAGATTTCAAGTCCCAGTCCTCAGAAAGGAAGGAAGGAAAGAAGGAAGGAAGGAAGAAAGGAAGGAAGGAAGGAAAGAGAGAGGGAGGAAGAGAGAAGAAAGGAAAAAAGGAAAAGGAAGGGGAGGAGAAAGAGAAAGAAGAAAGGAGAAGCTCGTTTTATCATTTTCTGTGTTGATTTAGTTTATGCTGTTATTTTATGCAGTGATGGTCTTCAGTGCTCACAGGTCGCTATGTTTCCTGTCTCTTCCTCTGACTCATTTTTACATTTTTTTCTTTGTGTCTCTAATGTGTATATTGAAATTTGATAAAACTGGTTGTTAGTTACACGTGAGTGTCTCTACAGTAAACGCTACTGGAAGATATTAAGATGATCTTGTTCCAGAGGAAATAAAAAGAAATTCCCTCACGATTTCTAATAGGAAGCCTAAAATGCTTTACTAGTCTCTGCTGAGAAACTCTAACTAGTAATCATAACATTCAGGTAGTAGCAATAATTTATTATAATCAAAATGAAATGCCAGGCGGTCTGCCAAAAGATATTTAAACACATATAAAAGTATGCACCCTCTCTTAAAAAGTTGAATTCTACAGACATTCCATGTGTATTTTTAGGTTATTTTGCCTTTTAGTAGGTGCCCATATAGAAATGTGTGCATATATATGTATCTATGAATAAAACACAATCTGTTTTTAAAGAAGACTTTTGATATTTTCAATAGTACATGCTGAAAATCTTATACATAAAGAAATAATTAGGGCTGGGGATGTAATTAGCGACAGAATGCTTGCCTGGTATATGCAGTGTGCTGGGCCCCACCCCATTGTAATTGATGACTGAATGAATGTGTGAATAGATTAAGTGAAGTGATTCATTATAACTTTGCTAACAGAGTTGATACAGATCATCTGGAGGCAATCATAGTTTACTCGGCAGGCAGTTGTATAAGGTGTAGGCTTTCCCAGGCTTTTCTACAAGTTCCTGCACAATCTTTGGAGGCCCTTGCCATCTGTGCATCATTAGCAATCTGTTTAGGAAGAACAGTTTTCACTCTGTTCATTCATGTTTTTCCTTTTCTTTTCATAAATAGGAGCAGTATTGAAAAATGTACATTTGCTCAACTGTTATATATATAAATTTTTAATATTTTTGTGTGTGACATTACTGAGGCTTGTACTCAGGGCCTCTAGTTCTCACTTAGCATTTTTGCTCAAGGGTAGTGCTCTACCACTTGAGCTACAGCTCCACTTTTGACTTTTGCTGGTTAATTGGAGAAAAGAATTTCATGCACTTTCTGCCTGGGCTGGCTTCAAACTGAGGCCCTCAGATCTCAGCCTCTTGAGTACTAGGATTACAACCATGAACCATCAGTACTCAGCTTCTCTAAGTCATTTTATCACAAGTCTAACCACTAGCTTTTCCCCCCCATCTTTCATTTTTGAAGAACTGATTTCTTATGTTACACAAATGAGATGCCATATCTTACCAGGAAGCATAAACAACTCACTAGCATTCTTAATTTCTCTAACCAATTTCCTTTTTGGTGCACAGCCATTTGATATTTCATAAAG